ACCCATTTATTATTACAGACTCAAAACTTCCCTTCTCCTCCGTAAAATGCCAAAACTCGTTCTATAGTTAAATTTTTGTCTTATTTATATTTAGTCCATAGATTATGCATATTTAATTAATTACTGTAATCTTGCCTTCAGTTTATAATTAATATATGAATGACTGAAAAATCCAATTATTTAGGAGATTCTACTTGAGAGGATTATTATTTCCATCCTCTGTTTTAGGGAATAAAGTATGTTTCTAATGGAACAACAAATCAACTGGGTCATATTTCACAAAATCTGAATTCAAAGTTCCCTGGCTTTATTCATTCCACAAGTTCAAGATCCATTCCACAAGATCAAGTCAGCCTCCACAAGGGTGACAATGTCTAGCCAGGTGAAAGTAATAAAATATGCATGTCTGCAGTTTTCTTCCAGAGACAATGAGATGAATCTGCCAAATGCATAAACAGACAAGAATACAAATTCTCTAACCACTTCTTTTAACTGAAATCATCATCATTTAAATCTATTTAAATTATTTTTCTAACTTATGAATGAACAGTGGAGGCCAATTTAATAACGTGCAGATTTCATAATTAATATAGATTTATAATATGTTTCTCTCTGCTCATTCAGCCTCCTGTGGTGCAGTGGCTTAGGTCTTTACTTTCGATGCTGGGTAGTAGGGATTGGATTGGATCCTGATCATAAAAGCAATTTATGGTGTAAAACTTAATTTGGCAGTGTATACGATTTTACTTTTTCACTTTTTGCAACAACATTTTGTTATTCAAAGACTTGTATCTTACAAATAACATCCAGGAATCAAAAAAAGAAAAAAGTTACAAAGTTTCTTTTATGTTGCGTAAACTAATTAATGTTACGAAAATATTGCAAAATCCCTCCATGATGTAGTTTATTCCTCTGTGGCTGGAGAGGATTATGAACATGAGTGTATTATCCTTTTAATTCAGCAAATAGTGGCTTCACCGTGAATTTCAGCATGTTCTACTGCATACAGGAAAAGGCTCAGCAGAAAATCTGAGCCAAATGCAGATGATCTCTGTAAAACCATGGTTTTAGTCCTGAGTGGGGCTGAATTGGGACCAAGTAGTTTGAATGTGGGCTGCTCAGTGGTGCAGTGGGTAGCACTGCTGCCTTGCAGCAAGAATTTTCTGGGTTTGAGCCCAGGGTCTCTCTGCATGAGCATGCGTGGGTTCTCTCCAGGTACTCCGGCTTCCTCCCACAATCCAAAAGCATGACTGTTAGGTTAATTGGCTTCTCTAAATTCTCCTTAGGTGTGAATGTGGTTGTCCTGTGTTTCTCTGTGACTGACTAGTGACCTGTCCAGGGAGTACCCCGCCTCTCGCCCATAGACAGCTGGAGATAGGCTTCAGTACCCCTCGCGACCCAACTTGGGATATGCATGCCAGAAAATGGATGGATAGTTTGAATGTAACACTCACACAGGTAATTATTAGGAACCTTTTAAATATGAGCTTTTCTCTATTTCCCTCAACAAAGCTGAAACTCTACACAGCAGCAGTCTTTGAAAAAAACATAAAACAGTAACAATGTCCACATGGAAAATTATAAATGTAATAATGTAACCAGAGTAAATTTAGATAATCAAAGTACTAAACTATATAAAAATATATTTTTTTTATTTATTTAGGCTGATAAACAAATTCCAAAGTCCTTTTAATTACTTTACAAAATTTCTCTATCTCCTTTAATTGTGTCCTTTTAGCAGCTATTTGATGATGAGACAGGAACCTAATAATACTACTTAACATAATTAGTTAAAAATGCTTTGTAAATCTAATGCATAACTGAAGCTAAAAGCTAGAACAACGCAGTTGCAAAAACAGAGAAAATTGTAGTACTTAAAACAACAAACACTTCCTCACATTTAAGCTTTTTTTTTTTCTTCAAATGGCCCCTAATATCCTAGTTTGTGTTAAATCTACCTAAAGGCCTTACACCATCTGTCTGAACTAATTAGCCATCACAGACACTCATAAATTAACTTCGGCTTTCTCCACCTTTTCCTTTGAATATGCTTTGTAACCTGGAGCAGTCTACTCTTGATTATATTTAATCTTTTTCACATGTGAAACTATTTTCTCTGCAAAAGAAATAAGGGAAATGAAAACAAGACTTTCTGTTAAGGTTCAGCGGAAAAAGAAATAAATACAATAAAATCTGTCCACCTCAGGTTTACACTGGCTAATAAGACTGTTAGTGGGTTAATTAATTAAGTCATGTGAATGAGCACAAAAAAACAAGAGCCAGCCTCTCTCTATGTGTGTGTATGGACACACAGAGACACAAGGACACAGATGGCCTCTGCCCAAGGCCTTTTACTAACACATGCGCACACAATTGCAGTTAACCCAAATATCTGAAAGTGTGCTTTCTCCTCCATTCACATTTGGGTCTCTTTAGAAAAAAAGAACAAAGAAATCAAAAGACAGGCCCTAAGGCTTTTACATTGTACATGATTCTGTAGAGAGAAAGTTGAGTTGCTGCAAAGAAGGCTGTTACTTCAGCCTCATGTGGCTGCACACTTACTATCTTGACTCTGTGTCCTGGCGTGGCAGTGATGTCCCAGGTGCACTCCTTACGGCTGGGATACTTATCAGGCCAGTTAGGGCTGCTCAGGGTCCCACTGGGGCTGTGGATCTTATGCTCGCACTCAGCTGGATACACACAGGCAGAAACACAAGAGCAAACACACATAGGAAGGAAGTAAATCATGGCTGCACAGGAAAAGGTCAAAGGAAATGGAAAGGGAACCCAAGGAAAGAAAAAGGATTTCAAATAAGAACATCCTGGTCACAAGTTCAGGGTGAATTTTGCAAGACTTGCATGCACACTGTACTTGCTATTTGCTGCCTAAACTGCTCCAAGAACTGGAAGAATGTAAAAAAGCATTGATTCCTCCACTTTTTCAGAAAACTGGGTTTATCTTAGAACCAAATCCTTTACTTAGTTGCATTCAGCACTGACATAATGATGCTGCAGGGAATCAGCCAAGACTTTTTCCTTTCTATTTGATAAGCCCAGAAGATGTATTGCATAAATCTGAAGGGTGTTATGTGCATTTGGATTTATATATCCTGGAGAGTTTCCTTGATATCCATTTCTCATGCATTGTATTTAATTCACTGTCGCTCTGGTTATATGTTTAGAGTTACTGTCCTGCAGGAGGGGGAAGCCTGGCCCCAATCCTAAGTATTTCACAGCCTTTAGGTTCTCTTTCAGGTTTTCACTGCGTTTAGCTCCATTCATCTCTCCATTACCTCTAACCAGCTTCACCGTCCCTGCTAAAAGAATATCCCCACATTATCATTTTAACTTTATGATGCTTCATTATAGGTATAATGTTTTAGGACTGACATACAGAGTTAAGGCTGCTACATAAACCACAAAAACCAATATGCTTTCTTGTTCTTGAGTTTGGAAGAACAGGAAAGAAGTCTCTTTTGCCTCCAAGTATTCACACTTCAAGAGAAGCTCAGCAGCCCAGCTCCTCCCCTCTATAACACGTTACTGAAGATTGATTGAGAACTGGTAGTGGTTGCAGGTACAGAGGATGGCAAGCACATGAAATAGGAGCTCAAAGTCTGCTCCCGCACTACTTGGAAAAGCTACCAACACCAGTGGAGTATGGTGCTAAGGAGGCAGGAATGCCCCACTGGAATAATTAAGGAAACACTGCAAGTGAGCAGAAGTAGAGTGTTCGACCATTTAAGCCACCAGATTTGAACAGCATAAGTACAGTTAAGTTCAACAGACACATACGGTATCCTTGGTTTTCAAACCCAAACACTGGCATCTAAATCCGGTCTAATCACAGTACGTCATAAGGAAAACATTCTGCCAAGACACTATGTCAATAAGGTAAATGGCCAAAGCGCTTTACACTACATTCAGTCATTCACCCATTCACACAGACACTGATGGTGGCAAGTTACTTTGTAGCCACAGCTGCCCTAAGGCTCACTGACAGAAGGGAGGATGCTGTACACTGGCGACACCAGTCCCTCCGACAACCATCCATTGCTTGGTCTCTCTAATGTACAGGTCTGTGCACTCCTAACTACACTGAACATAATAAGCCACGTTGTCAGTCTTGTTTCTGGATGTCTTATCTTTGGGGTAAACCAGTTTATGTCTCAGGCTTTGAAGTGCACAGGGATCCAGTGCTGGTTGAAAATCCTCCTGAGTTTTTCAGAGACTCCAGCAACATATGGAATGACGATGTTCCTTCTTCTTTTTTCTTCGCTCTTGTTGGTTATTAAAAAAGCCCATCTGGGATAACCACAGATATGCCTGGTAGTCAGGTTCCTCCTCACAGGACCCATCTGGGCAAATAACAAGCAGTAAGAAGCCCTAAGAAAGGGCTGATAAAGCAAAACTATGGGCATTCTCTGCAGGAGTTGGAACAAATATCTCAGTTCTCATGGAATATGTAGCAGCCTTTAGTTTTACACCACAAATAGTATTTCACATAAGGACAAAAAAGCAAAACAAATTAAATTTGGCCTCATCTGTCGTGGGGGCACCCGAAAAGATGTCCAAGCCACCTCAACTGACTCCTCTTGATGTGGAGGAGATGTGACAGCTCAGACAAAAAATGGTTCAGAAAGCCCTTATGACGACAAGACAGTCGGGCATGTGACATCGTCTCCTATGGTAAAAACAGGGATCCTACTGATTGAGTCATTCTCTTGACACAAGAGGTGACACCACCCCCACACCAGTCAGGGACCAGCAGGGATAAATGTGAAAATTGGAAGAAGAATCTCCAAGTATGGACTTTTTAGCTCTCACTTTATGAAAGGGGAAACTGTTAACCCATTCTGAAATAGTTATTTCAGTAACTGACATCCCAATTACTGTAACACTGTTTAAAATATTGGTCACATGCTTGGTTTGAACTATTATATAAAAATGTGTATAATTTAAGGGATAATTATACTTTATTTTTCCCTGTTTTAGTCTCTTGCTCTTTCATCTTATCACTTCTTGACCAAGTAGAAAACCTGATATCAGCTCTGAGTTTTAAGTTCTTTGGGGAATTTAGGGGCAAGTCTGGGACAAGTGAACCCAGACACGGTGACTATGAAGGAATTGTTTGAGAAAGTAAAGATGTGGTCACAAGCCAAAGACACCAAATCTTGGGTGTGCTGGCACATGTTCAAAGTAATAGTAGTCGTAAATTCTTTACAGTTAGCTCCAGGTTTGTATAAAGACATCCTTGTGAAGGAGACATTTGAGAAAGGTTCAAATTAAATCTGAGGAACTCTGAGGCAGGCTGTTGATTCAACCTTAAAGAGCCAGTGAAACATGTCTACATCAAATCAGGAAGGTAGACAAGCATCAGATGCATCCGTACACACTTTATTTGATGCACTTAAGGCCTGAGTGTGTCTGATAATGCAGGCCTCCCCACAGCTGGTCCTCGAGGGCAGCTGCCTGCAGGTTTTAGAAGTTTCCCTGGTCCAGCACAGCTGATTTACATTGATAGTTCATTGACAGGCTTTGGCTGAACTGCAATCATCAGAAAGAAAGCTGTCCTAAGGCGGAGAAACCTCTAAAACCTGCAGGACAGCGGCCCTTAAGAACTGACTTTGGGGATGCCTGCCTTAATGTTTACAAGCTTCAAAAATTATTTTTCTGTGTCTTTTAAGGAAGGGTATGTACATTTTCATGCACAACTCTATGGTATGATGCAGATAGGGACAAAAGAGTTTGTGCACTTCATATAATAGAAGAAAAAGCCACATTGGTCACAGGAAAAACTTAACTGGCAATAGTAATGAGAAATAATAATAATATATGAAATACTAATATAAATAAAATATAATAATAATATATACAGTAATACTATATTAAATTGAGAAAATAAAAGTCAGACATTTTACTTAACTGTACTTCAATAGAATAATAAAAAGATTAAATAGGCCTGGACAAAAATTATAACTCTACAAAAGACTGAAAATAAAGTGAACAAAACTTGTTAATTAAAGGTCTGTTATAAGACCTAAAAACCTAAAGTGATTAAAGGTGAAAATCAAGCTCAAGCTGCATTAGTGTCAGATCACACCATCCACCGTTGCTTGAGTTAGAATGGACTCAACTTGAGGCAACCAAGGAGGAGTATGTAGTTTGACACGACGCCAACTTGCATGCTCTGACAATCTACAAACCTTCTGGGACAATTCCTATGGATAGATGAGACAAAATGGAACTCTCAAATCACATTAAAATGAAGACTATCAAGAAAAGAACTGTGGACGTGTCATGATTTTGCGGTTACTTGACTGTTTGGCTCTGAGTTTTTAGTTACGTTTTGATTTATGTCACTCTGTGTTTTCTAAGTCATCGGTTTCATTTCAATTTTTTGTCATTCTAGTTGTTTTCTGGTTTTATTTGAGATCTTCTATATTTCTTGTTTACTGACTGATGCCCCCTTGTGCTAGTCTCCTTTCCCCTCCATCTGGCACAGGTTTTATTAAATATCTGCAGGGTACAGTTAAATCTCTAGACTATGAATGGATTCTAGAGAGAAATGCACTTCCCAGTGTCAGAAAACTTGGTATCAGGCGCAGGTCATGGGTCTGAAACAGGATAATTGCCAAAAAACACACAGCAAAAAAAGAGCAAAGAATGGCTACGAGGAAAACACTGCACTTCATTCTGAAGTGGCCTTCTATGAACCCTGGCCTAAATCCTATTAAGCATTTTTAGAGGGAGCTGAAACCAGCCTTCTGGAAAAGGCACCCTTCAAATCTGAGAAAACTGGAGCAGTTTACTAATGAGGAGTGGAAAAAGACACCTGCAGAGAGGAGCAGAAGTCTTGTTGATGGTTGCAAGAATTGTTTGATTGGAATGATTGCCTCAATAGGTTGTGCAAAAAAGATATTAAGCTAAGGGTAACTTAATTTTATCTAGGCCTGTTTATTGTTTTTAAATAATTTTGTTGAAAATTGTTGATTTGTTCAACTTTATAGAACTTCTATTTACCGTTACTAAAATGCAAGCTATTTTTGCAACTATAGTGTGATTTTCTTACATAGAACAAGGATACCAAAAATTCTGTCCATGTGTGTATAAATCTACAAGTAAAGGGTGTCACAAGAACTTTTAAGGTCTGAAATAAGAGAACAGGAGTCCATTGAAGAGATGTAACAGAAAGTACATGGGCTGCTCCTTTTGGTTCTATATTACTTCTGAGTTTTATGGATCTATGTGGGGCTGCCTGGTGCTGCCACTCAGTGCGGACTCTCTCTTCATGAAGGTTACATCTTCTGCTTGTGCATTCTTTGGTTCTCTCTGGATACTAAAAATGACTGTTAGATTAACTATTCCCTCCTAATTGACGAGATGCATCCTGTTAATCAAGCTATTCGATGCAAATTAAATTAATCCCAAAGTGAAGTGTTGCTTACCAGCAGAAACAACAGGCCGTTGTCCTCCAACACACGTTGTTAGATTTTGAATTGAGAACATTTCAAAGGTGTTTCTTACACAACCATCACAAGAAATTGTCAAACATGGTCAGTGGATATCCTGCAATGCAGACTACCCTGAGTGTTTGGGGGTTGGAATAGGGTGTAGTCCAGTCCCAAAACCAAAACAGGAGTCTGGGAAAATGCAAATGATGGATGAAGGCTGGTGGATGACCTCATCAACAGCTAAACACAGTGATCTACAAGACCACAGGTTAATATCTACAAAGTTCTATTTATGTCATCATTACATTGTATTCTTAATGGTCAAATCAAAGGTTATAAATACTTGAAGACTTCCGTGATGGTAACCCACCAAGAGCCTCCCGAGGCAATCGACAAAAATAGAGGGATAGTGTTTGAGTGGTATGTTGGTGTTAGCTTTAGATTATAGGTTATATGCAAAATATTGTAAACCGTCAAAATTTTGGCTTGTTTCTAGGGTTGCTCTAAATTACTATAAAAGCATATAGAGATGGAATGTTTTTTTTTTATTCCTGCCCAGAGCTCCTGATATTTTTTCACAATACGTAGGAAGTCCAAGCTAATAAATCAGATGCAGTGACCCTATTTATACCTAAGGGGGAGCCAACGACTCTGGTTTTGACAAAAACAGGATTGCAACAAATGTGCAGGTGCCTGGCAAGGCAGGTGAAAAATAGAAACCCACCTGCCATTCTCTCAGGTCATTAATCTATCATTTGGAATAAGTTGTACATTTGGAATAAGATGGCTTCCTTCACCCCTTTTTCATACAATCTGTCCTCTTTGTCCAACATCTGAGCATCATTGTTAGCAAAGGTGAGTCCCTTGTTCTTGAAAAGCAAATGTATTGCTGAAGCTTACCCAGAGCTATTGGGTCCGTGTGCTGCGCCATATGTTTTATACAACTGTTTGGTTCCTCTGATGTAGGAGTGTAAGCACCCCTCAATCATAGCACCACATAGACAACAACACTAAGCCACTTTTTTCGTGACTTATGACGTTACTTAAGAGTCTCAACCTCAAGTTGCCATTCCTGATGGATGTAAATTCTTGCAGTTTGAGTGACTGATATGTCAAGAAAAGTTGTAGTTTATTTCTTATATACACATTGCTTCAACAAAGAACTAATCGCACATAATAAAACATAATAGAAAAATGGATTTGTGTCAATTACATATCATAAACATAACAGCACAGCCATGCAAACTTTCCTAGGTGGAGAGGCTAACTAAGATAGCCTAAACGTTGATAGAAAATTTACTTGAATCATCATGAAGGGAAGAGTTTTGACCCTTCATTGAAAAAAAAGTACAGTAGTGTTTATGACTGAGCAAATTGTTAGCACAAATGTATTAACAACACGCAAGTGCCTTCTTTAGTTTTTAACCCAAGAAGTGAGTGAAACATGAACCCACCTTCTTTACAGTCATGTTTGTTCTCATGCAGGATAAAGCCGTGGCGACAATGACAAACATACGAGCCCACAGTGTTGATGCACTCGTGCTGGCAGCCGCCGTTTTCCTTACTGCATTCATCTTTGTCTGTGAGAGACACACATGCAGCACATCACTTATGTGGAAACAACTAAGATGAGAAGAGGGAAGTGGGAGGAGAAAGTGGAAAAAGCCTTAAATGACAGGTAGGGATGGGAGGGGCAATGGCAAGAAACCCAAAGCAAAAAGCAGGCAGTGATGCAAGAGACTGTGATGAAAGTGGTGAATACATTAAATAACATGTAAAGAAGAACATTACTCAGCTTTTAACAATAGTTTTTAAGCACAAAGCTAAAAGGAATCAACAAAAACATCCTAACATGAGATGTTTTACCTGACACAAAGTGAAACCAATATATCATCTTAAACTTTATAAAAAACATTTTACAAAAATTAGCTAAAAATGGAGAGATGTGGACAAAATGGCATTAGAAAAGTTAATCCAAAGCAGCTGATTCTCTGCTAAGAGCTACAAGGTGTTGTTTGACATTTGTTTGACTTGTAATACTAGCTCTCTGGTGTACCTTTCAACATTAAACTAACAGGGTGAAATGTTCAAACGTACCACAGCTGTGCATTTTTGGACTTTAGGTGCCTTTTATGTACCGTATGTGTATTGACTCCTATGTGAGCTAAGTGTTACTTTTTTATCCACTGCTTATCCTATAGAGTAATAAAGACGGTGTCATTTTATAAGTATACCATTTAAAATAAATTATATTTTTTAACCTAAAAACCACAATCTTTGATGTAATAAATTCAGACTTTTGATAACAGAACAAGACTAAGTAGACTTGTTATTGTAAAATGGAAGGAACAATAATCTGTAAAGTGTTGTGTGCACCTGATTCCTCTCAGACACTACTAAAATTAAAACAAGATCAAATAAATGCTCTTGGAAGTAATCTATTTGTTTAACAGAATGCCCAAGTGTATGATGCAATCTCAGTGTAGATCCAGATATAAAGTAAAGGACGCAGATGTTTGCTAGAGTACATCAGATGACGACCTCCATCCTGAGGATGAAGGAACAGAACAAATTGGTCAGAAACAAATATATGAAGAAACTCATAGCAGGGTTAGGATTATAAAAAAAATATATATAATAAAATAACTGAAATTAGCTATTAATCTGTGAAAAGATACAAAAAGATGCTCTTTATCCATTCTAGAAGAGTTTGAGATATCATTTGGGGAAACTGTTGAAAAAAATCTGTGTACTTCTAAGTCTAAAAGAGAGACAAAAAAAACTATATTTGGGGCTATTGGCAGATCCGGCTTCTGGCCTTTATGAGACTCAATTGGTCTCTTCATATTTAAAGGTAGTTGAGACAAACTTGATATTGCTTTAATTTTATTAAATGGTGGTTACAATTTAAATAAGGTCTAAATATGAATAGACATAACTGAATCTAATTAGAACTGTTCCAAAATAGTTATTTTATGAAACTTTTTGTATATAATCTCAACAAAGTGAAAGTAAAATATTTTGAAGCTTTTGAACTGAGCCAGAGGAACTCAAAAGGGTTAAATTCAACACAATTGGAGAGCTGTGTGTCTCTCCTCGGTTATATTCTCTCTCTCTCATCCTTTAATTTGCGGCTTTTTCTGACCACTTCTGGGTGGCTGACTGAGGACAAAGCCATTTAGAGGAACCAGACTCTGCAGTGGCGGAGTAGATGACAGGGTGCAGGCAGCAGGTGTGAATTGGGATATGTGTGGGGTTGCCACGTTGCACAAAGGAAAGAGTTGAGGATGGGCCAGTGACTGAGCAAGATCACCTGACAATTAAAATGAGGACAGTGTTGCGTTGTGTTTGTGCCTGGGACCATGAATCCTTACAAAGAGCTGTAAGATTAGACACAGATGTTGACTCTCACCTCAACTCAGCTAGATTTGATTTTAATGAAACTACTAAATCCTGGTCACGGTGTTTTTATGTGTGTGGATGTGTGTCTGATGTTGGGTTATTGCGGGCTCAGTGTTACCCTATCACTGGCTAAGAGGCTTTGCACCCAACGCGGCACATCGATCAATGCAGCCATCTTCAGGTCAAGAACATGTCCAGATAACCACAGAAGCAAATGCATACACTTATGTATTAGTAGCATTTGGGAGGATAAATTTCAGGCTTTCTGCCAACCCTAAAACACATCCCTAGAAGTTGTAAATAAGCGTACATCATCCATACCAAGGAATTTCCTCAAAGCATGATGATCTACCAACCTCAATATTTTAAAGACTCTGCAGGTAGTTGGATTTTCTGCAAGGGGATATACACTAATTCATTAAATGTCGGTTTACACACATCTGCTACTAAAAATATATAGGGGGATCATCACAAATTAAGGGTGTTGGTGTCCCAAGTGATTCTTTCTGACCTGCCAAAAAAAAAAAAAAACCTGGATGTTGCAGCAATTAAAGCTGCATCTCAGGAAAACATGATAACGATATTAGGAAAAACAATTTTACATAAAGAAGGACATTTCTACATTCATTTCCATTTTAAAGCCCTAAAATGATAATTAGGTAAATCAACACAGGTTTACACAATTTTACCTGATGAGAATAAAGTAATATAAAACGTTGTGAATTTAGAGAGCTCGAAACTAAATTCCTGGCAAAGAGTGATTTAGTTAAGATTTTAAAGTCATTTATTCCACTTTATGAAAAGTGTCGCAAGTCTGGCCTGAGCATGTTAATTGGCAGAATCATTTCAGGCTAGAAATTTCAGTAGCATACTGTATCTGTTTAGAGTTGTCAGCATGTCTGAGGAAAGAGAGGGGAGGATGGGTGCAGGAGGCTGCAGACTGGAAGAAGGCTCAGTAGTAACAGCATGACAGGAATGTACAGAGCCCTTAAACGTACACAGACATTGGTATTACTTCAACTACTAAACCTTGTAGGCATACAGAAAACACACAGGAGTTAGTCTGTTTTCACACAACTAATTTTTAAGTAACAACTGCAGCTCTGCTGAAGGACTTTTTAGATAATCAGAAATTAAACTGCAATGGTAATTTGCATTTCAAAGTTTTCATTTCTATTTTGACTTATTTTTTTCACTCAGTTATTTTGCTGTTAGAATTTTGAGCAATTTAACACTTAGCTTCGACTTATTTGGGTAACCAAAATGCCCTTTAACTCTCATTGATTACTGAGATTATATAAAAATATGTTTCATGCGCCATTTTGTTTTGCTAAAATATTAACAGAAAAAAAGATTTCAATTATCTTTTGAGATGTGACTGTGTCATTTTCTAACAGAAACAAAGTTCTTGTTTTAATGAAAAATTTTTATATGCAAGGAATATGTATAAATGTAGGAACAGCCAAATAAAAAGGTATATGAGTAAAATGAATATTTAACTTAAAACCTTTCACTAAATATTACAACTTGAAATATTTATTCACAGAAAATGTTAAGTATCTAACTTAAAGCAGCAAAATGATCATTTGAAACTTGGGAATCTATTTCTTATAAAATAACCTTTTGAAATTGTTTTTTTGGTTTAGAAGATCTCTATGTGTATTATTCTTTTACAAAGAACACTGTGGTAATTGGAGGACTGGAAGGGCTAATATATATGCAGAACAATAAAAATTGAAGTGGACTTTTAGTAATGTTTCTTGACCATATATTCTAGATAATTAAAAAAACCTAAGTTTTAAATGGATTTATTTATTGCCTCTCTGTTCTTAGAAAATCCTCATTGAGAAGTACATAACCAGAACGGTACGAGTTCTCAAACTTATTTTAGAATTAAACTTAGAAAGAGGACAGGACCTAGGCTTAGCTTAATAATTTGGTAATTTGACTAGATTTCACTGGTGCCAGCCATCAGAACCCACAAACCCCGATCCTGAACCTTGTTTTACTTCTCTCATGTATCTGTCTGTTTATTCAGATGTTGCTTTTAATCTGTTGTATTAAAATGCCTTTAATCAGAACAGTCTGTCGAAGACAAATTCTTGCTTTTAGTCTTACCTGAGAAGAAGTGAGCTTTGAAGCCTTTCTTGGAAACTGTGTTGTCTGACTTGAACTCAATCCTCATGTTGTTGTACTGAGAGGTGATGACCTCAGGCACTTCTGTGCCACAGTATTTCCCATGCAGCTTAGAGTCGGACGAGAGGCCACTCCGCACCTCAACATAATCGTATTTACAAACCTAAACACACACACACAAGGATCGTGTTAGGATCTTATAGCGCCAATGCAGAAGGAATTGTTTGGATGTTGCATTAAAACCTAGTAGTGGGCCAAGCTGCATACATAAACGTAGAGACGCTCACCTCATTGCCCTCCAGCTCGAAAGCTTCAAACTGCATGGAAATGCGGTACTGAGTGGGGGCCACCACCTGCCACACACAGTTCTTGTTGGGTGGATATTCTTTAGGCCAACCAGGAGTGCTGATGGTTCCATTCAGTTTGGATAGAAGACCACCACAGGCCGCTGAAAAACACACAGATGTAAACAAATCAGGCACACAAACCATAAACAAGATTATTTTGTATATGAGAAAACTCAGGATACTGACATTATGTATGAAAACATGTCATTCAGCTTTATTCATTTTACTTTATTTACATTTATTCACAGGAAAAAAGGAAACGGGTCAAAGTTAAAATAAATCAAACCACTCTACTGTCACACAGATGCAAGTTAAACCAGAAACCAATTAGATTCAGTAAAGGAAAAAAAAGGTTTCCTTATCTAAGTAAAGATATTCAAACTGACTATAAACACTTTTCCAGGGTAAGCTCCAGGATTTAAAGCCCAAGGACTAATTTTATCTGGGCAATCTGAATCCATCAGTCTGCTACTGCCATTTAGCTTCCTACATATTCCAAAGGAAGGGAGCAGTTTTTCTCGCTCTCTCAGATGCAGGAATAAAATGACATAATTTTGTTGGTGCAGCAGTTTTTGCTGCTTGTTGTAGACATAGAATATGGGCAGAACTTTATACTGTCTGAGAAATGTGCAGTTGATCAGGATTTGGATGGGTATTAAATTGGAAAAGCGTAGATGATTTTTGCTTTTTGTTTTGTTCATATATTCCTCCCTCATATCAGGTGTGGAAACAGTGATCAGTTATGTTATGGATATAGCTTGGGAGATTGTGTGTTGAAAAAAAATATGAAGATTTGCATGATTCATATTTTAAGTAATATAAAGCATTTTGCTCTCCTCCTGATCAATCTGAAAAACAGGCTCCTCTGCCGTTGTCTTGCTGTTGTGGTTTTTTTTATGGGTGTAACATACCCTACAGCAGATGTGACTTTTATGAGCTTGGCAGCTTATCTTCTCTCATGAACCTTTTTCTTGTTCTTGCCAGTTTAAGATCAAGAACAAGAACACATTTCTCATTTCTTGTGTAGTTTTTAAGATATTTTTTCAATGAAAGAGTCTAGCACATTATTCTAAATCAGCCTGAGAAAGACAGCATAGATTAGTTATAAAACAGTTTTTACTTACTTTAAAATTATTTTTTTGCTGTTGCCTCAATTGATGAATACTTGTAGATAACCAGATAATTATGGGGATGATTGATTATATCTGTTATTGATCCAAACTGGATCCATAAGTTTAAATAATTAATTGACATTTCATTTTTTATCAACCTGCCAGAGCTGTTTCTTTATAACTACTTAAAACTGATCAAAGCATTTATTTTCTTCTATTATAATAATAACCTGGTTAAAGCAAAATGATCATTTGAAACTTGGGAATCTATTTCTTATGAGGCAACCTTTTGATTACATTCATTTATGCCTATCTTGGCCTAGTTCTCCCTTGCAAAAGAGATTTTTAATCTCAATGGGTATTACCTGGTTAAATAAAGGATAAATAAAAAAAAAAAAAAAATTTTTTTTTATTATTATTCTTTTACAAAGAACACTTTGGTAATTGGAGGACTGGAAAGGCTAAGATATATGCAGTTTAACAATACAAAGGTAACTGGATTCCTAGCACATAATTCTAAATTAGCCTGAGAAAAACAGGCTCCTATATTTCAGCACAAACAGAAAATGTCAAAATTGTATTTATTGCTCAGTCGCATTTACAAGGAATTGATACCTTGACTTCATAAACATACAAATATTCATATCAAATAGAAGTTGCAGAACTATACTCACACAGCAAATTAGAAAATGCTGATCAAATCCAGCTATGTTGCAAAACAGATAAATTATAAGCACTTTTACAGTCTTTATAAGCCATAAGTTGGAGTAAAAAAATCACTTAACAACCAAGTCTAATATAAACAGTGAATTTTTTGAGGCAAACTAGATGTTTTCCAATGACAATCCATTCAACTTACGTTTGTACAGGCAAAACACAAACCACCTCTTCAGCAACCTATTCCTTCTGGTATACCCTCAGTTAATATTTTTTTGCTACTTAGTTTTAAGAATCAGTATTAACTTCACCAATAAATGGGGTGCACAAACCAGGAATTTCACATCACATCATAATGAACTCCACAAAAACAAAAAGCAGAATAACAGTAGTATATAATAGTATGATTTTTCAGCTGCCTTTGGAATCAATATTCAGTAAATACATACTATTTTTTATTTTGCTGATGACAATTGGATTAAACTCCCTTTCAAACTGGATCTTTTTCAGTATAGCACTCTCTATTGAATTGCTATAATGTGTTTGATACTTAAATGACGTACACTATATGAAAACAAGATGAAAATCCTTTTGGATTAGTTAACCAAAATCAATGGCTCTCTCGTTTCTCACAATTTGCAGAGTTAGAGTCAATTAAATCAGATGTCGATGATGCAGAATGACTAGCCTGGTAAGCCAGACTGTTTTACATGAGGCCTAAATCGGTCTGGTGAGGCTAGATACTCTCGAATCTAAAACAGACCAAACCAAACACATCACAGGAGGAGGGCCCACAGTGTTACAGCGGTTTTCTTTAACCATAACAGTAGATAACAGCTGCAACAAAGCAATGTTTTAATGATGCCCTTTATTGTGTCCTGAAAGAGCTGTTTATATCATTAACTGGCTGCTGTTAGAGATTTATTCCTTTAAAGACTTTTTGCATTACATCCATAGTTTGATTGTTAGTCCTGCCATTGTAAATAGGTTTTACACGCTCCTTTCTAAAGTAATTTGCCATGCACATGGTGTAAATTAATCTGGCTAGCCAGGCCACAGAATGACAGAGCATGCTAAGTCATTTTTTTTTCATATTTAAGATACTTATCAACCTTGGGAGGTAGTCTCAAAACTTCTGACCACTAGGAAATAACAAGGTACTATAAGACGTTGGATGATCTGAAAGGACAAAGGCACCCATAAAGGCACATTGTTGTATTTTTATTGTTGAACAGCAATTTGAAAAGAAATTCTTAACCACTATGTAATGTAGCCAGATAAAAGGGCATGTTGATTTGTGCCCTCTGTTTTTTTCCTGTTAAGGAAGCTGTTTGGATGTTGTTGAGTCACGCTTGCATCCTACTGACACACACAGCCCCGTCAACAGAATCATGTCTCCTATAACTCTCACACACACAATCACAGGCACTGACTTTTTTACCTTCACAGCTCTTCTTGTCAGGAGCCAGTTCATAGCCAGGGTCACAGGCACACTTGAAGCTGCCGAGAGTGTTTACACACCTCTGCTCACATCCACCATTGTCTGGCTTGGCACACTCATCTTCCTCTGGAACACACAACAGTCGAAATATGTGTGAAATGCTTTGGATAGAAAAACCGCATGAGAAAGAAAAACTAACAAATACGATGAAGGAAGAAGATTTATTGTATTTGCATTTAATACAAGAGGACCTGTGGTGACATTCTTGAAGAACAATAAACCAACAAAATAAATAAACAAAAGAGAAAAATAAGAAAACCAGGAAAAACCCCAATGGATTGGCTTATACCCAAAACACACTGGGTCTGTTTGGTATACAATTCAACAAACAGTCTGATTGTATAATGTCGACAGCATTTAGAACACACTAATGCAAATGGGTCCACACAGGTTGCTTGCAATACACTGCAAATGCTCCTTCAGCAGTCTAACCAAGACAGATAAGAGTTTTATTATGGATGGACATAAGAAACAATTTTACAGGAATATGAGTCAGCCTAGAAATCAGAAACAGCAGCAAAGTAAAATACATCCACATTGGGAAAGACAAACTAAAATAGCCAAAATGTGACACAAAGTTTTCAATCACAGAAGTATAACGGGCAAATAGTGGTGATGTTAAAGCATGTTTAATCAGTAAATGTGGTTTTATGTTTGAAAATGTGATCAGAACAAGTAGAGACTGAACAAGCACTGTGCTTTAGAAACTAGTTACATTTACTTGAGTGACTTTTAAAAAAAAAGTACTTTAGCTAATTTTCATGCATTCTGAGTTAATAGTTGTAAACGCTTTAAAATGGTTCGCCAGCAACCCGGTGGATTTAAAAAGGGTAACCAATAATCCTTGAGTACAACAAATAAGAAAATGTATCTTAATGATGAATATTTGTTTAAAACAAGCTTGTTTTCATTAAATGAAGTCATTCACAATAGATGGAGGAGCCAGAAATCTTACTCAAGAGTGGTGATATTTTATCCCAATTTCACTTACGTTTTTTTTTACATTGGGCCCTTGATTTTACGTTATTACATCATGTTCTACTCACCCATATTAGTTTTGTGTCATTTGGAGCTGTTCTGAAGATATTCCGTTAGGTTATATCCAAGTAACGTCTTCCTATGGGCAACGACTTGAAGGCACAAACTAAACTGTTCATAATTTATTCTTTATGGTATGCCAGCATTCATAACGTGTAGGCGAATCACTGTGCCCCAGACATCCGCAGTTATATTTTTTATATATTTTTTTTTAAAACAAAGCAGAGTGTGTATGACGTCATATAATATGATAAAGTAGTGCTAGTCTTACTTTAATACAAATTTTTGGTACTCTACCCAACTCTGGTTTTGAGGAGTTAATCAAGTTCACCTACCTTTGAAAAAGTTGGCAGCAAAACCAGCCTTGTTCACGGTGCCATCTGAGACAAACTTCATCCACAGAGTGTGGGACGTGGAGCGAACATCTTCAGGCTTGTCGTAGCCACAGAATCGACCAATCAAGGGGCTTGTGTCAAGTGGGCCGTCACGGACCTCCAGGTAGTCGTAGGCACAGCTGTCGTGCCTCTCTATCTACACACAAACACATGCATACACGTGTTTAATGAGATGGTTACAGTGAACTTCTAATCATCAATTTACCATCAATTTGTAGTGATTATGTATTAGTTTATATAGCACGAATAAACTGAATCAGTCAGCAGCAGTGTAGTTCATACAGAATCATACTACCAAACCCGGTTTTATTTGATCAGTTGCCATAAATTGTAAAAAACATGCTTTATGTTTTTTTAAGCAACAAAATTAAAGGATATCTCTAAACTAACTGCTGAGAAGATTCATAGAAAATGGGTAACACTGAGGAAAATGACTCTTTATAATTATTCCCCAACAGAGACCCACGATTAGTCCAGCCCTGAGAGAAAAAAAGAATCTGTAGGTTTCTGCACCTCCAAGAAGTGAGGTTTAACACACTGCATAGCAGTTTTACACTTACATCACTCTTTATAGTGCAGCTGTACTAAGTTTAAGACAGCCAAAATATTTTTTGCCAAGTTTATCACAAATGTTCCTGCTTTCCTATTTAAAGTGAAACTTAATATTCACAGTAGACATAGAATCAGGACTTCACCAAAGGATCCTCTGTAGAGTTTTACATACACTACTATAACATGCCAGGTATTATATTTTATTTAGCTTTAGATATCATTGAATGATTGATTCCCCATGGCACTGTTTTATTAAACCTATGTGATATTGTTGCACAATTGTGCGGGATTGGTGTCTTATCTCCAGAGGTGGGGTACACCTTGTTGTCATTACATCAAAGAGCAAGACGCACAACTATGTTTGAACACTCAAAAGTGAGCGGAATTCGGAGTGGTCAAACCCAAGAGATAAGAATGTTTTTTAGACTGTGAGAGGAAGCCAGGGTATGGGATGAAAACATACAAAGTTCACAAAGAAAGGCCCACATCTGGAATTAAATTTCCAAAACTTTCTCAGTTAATTCATGCAACTTTTCATTTCTGATTGAACAAGTCTCTGCTCATTAGAAAAGGAGCAATAGAAAAGAGCAGCAAACATAAACAACAAAAATGGGAGAAAAATAGGAAAGAGAGAAAACATTTACTATGGAACTAACCCCAATAGAAAACACCAGATGGACTGGGGTCTTTATTAACTCTAGCAGCCATTCAAGGATAAAATTTGACCTAGACCATCGAAGCTCTTGCACCCAGTGACACACACACACAAACACACACAGAGTGGGAGTGGGTCACCTCGAAGGCCTGGAAACTAAGTCCAACATTGTATCCCTCAGACACAGTGATCCTCCAAACACACTCTTTGGAGGGCCTGTAGTCATCAGGATAGTTTGGAGACTGAATTTGCCCACTGTCCTTGGTGATTTCCCCTCCACAGATCGCTAAACAGAAGAAAAGAGAGCAATAGAGCAGTCAGAGTCCGCCAGGATGAGTTAGAATGAATCCATGCTGACCACAGACACCTGAAACACAATCTGTCTACACAATTAATACTAAAACTAAAATTAAAAGTAAACAGATTCAGTGTCCTGAAATGTTTTATCATCAAACAGACCTGCACTATATCTGGAAAGTGCAGGTCACAGCATATGCATGTTAACTGATAACTAGTCAGTTTAATGTATTGATCTGATCATTTATTTGAGCTGTTACCTTCATAGACAGCAGCAAAGCCTTTGCCCACCCAGTTGCTGCTACTGCGAAACTCGATCCACATTCTGCTGTCAGCTGAAATTAAAACATCAGGGATTTTGTCTCCACAAAACCTGCCTGTGAATCACAAACAGAAAATCAAATCCACAAAATCCTCTTAATCATTGATTATATGGAACATTATATTTCTAAATTCAAGTTCAGATGCCCAGACCAATAAGCCTCAATTTTTAAACAAACCTATTATCATTCTATAATATTGAAATCATCTGTCTCTGAAAAAGCACACCTCACCATTGTCCCACTGTACTCACACATGTTCTTCAGCACTGTTCTGTTTCTCTACCAGACATCACCTCTTAATTCAGCACCACAACAATGTTTATTCTTCTAAACTCCTCTATACTTCCTTGTCCCTTTCTGTAGTTGTAATCTGTAGTTTTCTTTCTCTGCATAAAAAAATACTGCTCCTTACTGAAAATATCTTTTCTATGCTTCTTTGACAAAATAGTTTTTAGTTTATCATGTGTCAAACCTTTAAATTAACGTTTACATTACATATTTATATAAACTAAATTTGCAGATTTCTATGACCTGATGAAACGAAGGAGTATAGATGGATGTATGGCTTACGTCATCCACAGAGTGTGGGCTGATTGGAAAAAGTTTCATAATATATATAAAACTGACACTTTGTTTTTTTTTTTGGTTTATCTTTAGTACTTTAAAAAATCAGCTTCACAAAAAAATGCCAAAAAATGTTCAGACTGCATGATTCCTGAACCCTATACATTAAAATCCATATGTAAACTCAGTTCCTAAAAATAGGTAAGATTTCAAATTTTGTTTTATTTTGAACATCCCTATTTGATCAAATTTAAGGAAAATGTCCACTTAATTTCTGACAGACATGTTATTTTTTCCACAAGTCTGTCATCAGGGGCATCATGTACAGAGTATGTGTATACACAAAAAAAAACATGTGGCACAATATCTAAGTATGTAGTTGAATAAAAACTGTAAATATTACTTTGTTTTGCACATGTAAATACTTATCATTTTAAACACCAAACAACACAAATGCTTTCACTAGCACAAATGTTTGATGTCAGAACTAATGGATTAATGGAATTCCTTTGTTTTATTTTACAATTTAATACCTAAGTTTATAAGACCTAAATAAAATGCTTTTTTTTATTTAGTTAAGTTAAATTAATAAGAACTGACCATATGAAGGTGCAAAAAGCAAAGACATACTGGTTATCTAAAAATAATTTTGTTGTAGTTGCACTCAGTCTCACGGTAACTTGATCTTACCGAGCAGTGGCGCTTTCCTCCAGTATCCATCCCGAACCTCGATGTAATCATACCAGCATAGGCTGCTTTTATACAGATCCATAGTAGTGAAGTTGAGAACAATCTGGAGAACCAAAATATATGGCAAAACAAAACATGTTAGATTTATTCTATTTTATTCAAAGGTGTTAGGAATGCTTTCTACTCTCTAATTCTCATCATTAACGTTTTTGTGTTTGAGTATGTTTGTATACCTTTTCTCCAGGAGTAACAGATATTCTCCAAACACAGTGAGTGTATGAGGGGTATCCATTGGGGTAACCGGGGGACGAGAAGTTACCGGTTGACTCTTGGAGGGTTTCTCCACAAGCTGCATTTCAAACAGATGAAGTCGTGTTTTAGAGGCAATGCTCTGCATTTATAATCTTCTGTGCTCCCTGTCGAAATTTAGCTGAATTTAACATTCCTCTTCAAGATGGTCATATGCTGGATGTCAGGACATTTGAATAATCTAGAACAGCTGAGTCTAGCATTTAGCAAGGAGGATCTGATCATTGTTGGTTTCATTTTGAGCGTGACACTATTGCTGTCTTTTAAAAGGAGGTGAGTCAAACGTGCAACTCCTGTGCCATCACACATGCTGTTGTTTCCCCCCACAAATGCCCTGGGGCTCTGTTCATCTGTCAGTGAATATCGTAGTGCCCTAATACGACATTATGAGGTGGAAGTTGTATTCTTCTCCAGCTGCCATACATTATTTCAGTCTCAGTCCCTCTTCAGTATAAAATATATTTGATTTTATCAAGACCCATTTGTTTGTATTTTCAGCTTATGGTTGGTATAATGAAAAACCAGTAAAAAGACTGACTGATTTTCCAGCAGCAAGTTCTCAAACATATGTTATATTGTCTGTCCTTACAAGTAGAACGACTGGTCCCCATAAGGAAAGTCCTATTCTTGGGCTGGGGGTTAGGTTGAGAACTAAGGTGTGAATTAGGTTTGGGGTAGGTTTAGGGTAAGGTATGTATTGGTAATGGTGAGGGTTAAGGTAAGGGTCTGGATTAGGACATAGAAATGTGTTTGGTTTGAATGGAGGACAATAGAAAGTCCCCAAAGTAAGTCCGGACATTGGTGTGTGTGGCCTGAGAGCTCTGGTACTGATCATAAACTCTTACAACATCACATCATCACACCATAACAGCTTAGTATGCAGCTCCAGATCACTTCAAAACTCCTCACCAGGGAACAGGACAATGCCAGAACTATGGGCGTGCAAAATAGCTGAATGTATGAATAGGTCTGTGTGTGTTGGACATATGTGAACAGGCTTTAAAACATGTAGAAAAAATGGCATTAAAGAACAGATTTTTCTTTAAAACCTTTATTCAGCATTATTTAACTTTAGAAAGTTATATGATTGAAACCAATGAGGATGCCAGAAAATATAAAAACCGATGGGAAGTTCTCAAATGTTTATTCTGAAAATGTAATTTGTGGACGAATGAATGGGTGAATGAATGTGAATGAGTGTTAGGGGGTGAGGGGAGGGAGTGTGGGAGGGTTGGTATATTATCTCTGTAAATGTGTCCTCTGTTGTCATTTATGCTGATTTTATATAAAAAAAAAAAAAAGCAACACTAAGAGAAAATAAAAACAGATGTCAAAATTTCTCCTCTGTGCCTCAGAGGGGAGGATTTCATGTTAAACATGCAAACCGAATAATACTCATCAACATAATCTTTGGTTTTCTTTACTACAATTACAAACAGATATTTCTAAACCCCATAACACAGCAATGTGATAGTGAATAAATCGGTACCTGGACATCTATACAGCTTCCTTGCCTGTGCAATGTCTCCCTTGCTGAGTCTGGTTCGCTGGCCGATAGCCGGCCGGACCCCATTTTCATCTCTGGATGGAAGAATTGTGTCCAGGAACATCCCACTGCAGAGAAGAAGATAAAAATTACATTTTTTACCATGAAATAAAAATGTGCAAACCACACACCTCAATTTGTGTCCAGATCAACATACCAGTGTTGTTCTTAAGAATCTGTATCTAAATCTAAGAGCTGAGATGTACATAACAGTGTATTTAGGGGGTATACTTACACTATCAGCATGTATACTTAATTACATAATCATTGATTATGATTTCTGCCTGTGATTTGATTTCACTAGCAGATTTTGTATTTCTATTCACCTAGAAGCTTATTTGTAATAGGAAATGGGGCAGAGATGCTTTAGACTGGAGACAGTCTGTTATTGTTTAAGAGTGTTCTGAAGAGGATGCTCATGAAAAATCCAACCCAGAAGTTCTACAGTATTTCCCAGAACAACTTTTTAAACTTGTTATTCATCTTTAAGTCTTTGCTCTTATGCTTTTACCCCAGCAAATGAAGGCAAAATAGACCACATTCTCCACAGTGGGAGAAAAAAAGTTAAGGAAAACACAAATCAAGTTATGCGAACTTAATTAGAGACACAGATCTCTCTTGTTAAGGTAAAGTGCAGAAAAAAAACAAAAAAAAACAGCGTCCCCTAAAAATATCATCATGTCATGCAACCTTCTTTTTTTCTGTTGTGTTTGGGCCAACTGACCGCATTCTCACTTTCATCCTGCTCTGCAGCAATCACCTTCATCTCATGCGTGTGCATGCTGTTCTCAGCAGCATCTTAATCCAGTTCATTAACTGCACCGAAATCAAGCTTTCAACTTAGAAGGGAACACTGATTGACAATCAATTTCACATACTGTTGTGCAAATGGAATAGACAACAGGTGGAAATGACTGGCAATTAGCAAGACACACTCGATAAATGAATGGTTATGCAGGTGAGGATCACAAACCACTTCTCAGTACCTTTGCTTTCTGGCTGATGTTTTGGTCACTTTTGAATGTTGGTGGTGCTTTAACACTAATGGTAGAATGAGACGGACTCTACAACCCAGACAAGTGGCTCAGGTAGTGCAGCTTATCCAGGATGGAACATCAATGCGAGCTGTGGCCAGGAGGTTTACTCTCTGTCAGTGTAGTGTCCAGAGGATAGAGGAGACATCCGGAGACAGGCCAGTACACCAGGAGACATGGACAGGGCCTTAGGAGAGCAACAATCATGTAGAAGTACCTCTAATTGCCATTCTCCTAGGAGGAACAGGAGGAGCACAGCCAGAGCCCTGCAAAATGACCTCCAGCAAGCCACAAATGTGTATTTGTCTGCGCAAACTGTTAAAAACCGACTCCATGAGGATGGTATAAGGGCTGGACGTACACAGATGGGGCTAATTCTCACAGCCCAAAACTATGCAGGATCCTTGGCATTTGCCAGAGAACTCCAAGATTGGCAAATTCAAAACAGCGCCCTGTGCCCTTCACTGGAGAAAGTAAGTTCACACTGAGCACATGTGACAGACATGACAGAGTCGGGAGACACTGTGGAGACTGATCTGCTGCCTGCAACATCCTTTAGCAGGACCAGTGGGTCAGTAATGGTGTGGGGTGGCATTTATTTGGAAGGCCTCACAACCCTCCAAAGAAATGACTGACTGCCATTAGGTACAGAGATGAGATCCTCAGGCCCCTTGTGAGGCCACATGCTGGTGCAATTGGCCCTGGGTTCCTCCAGATGCAGAACAATGCTAGACCTGATGTGGCTGGAGTGAGTCAGCGGTTCCTGCAATATGAGTGCATTGAAGCTATGGACTGGCCCGGCCGTTTCCCAGACTTTAATCTGACTGACCGCATGTGGGACATCATATCTGAATCTATCCACCAATGTCCTGTTGCACCACAGACTGTACAGCAGTTAATGGATGCTTTAGTTCAGGTCTGCGAGGAGATCCTTTAGGAGACCCTCCTCCATCTACATCAGCAGCATTCCCAGACATTGTAGGGAGGTCATAAAGGCACATGGAGGCCACACACAATACTGAGCCTCATTTTGACCTGTTTTAGGGACATAACTTCAAAGTTTGATGAACTTGTTGTGGGTTTTTCCACATTGATTGTGTGTGTGATTCCAAATCCAGGCCTGCATTGGTTAATACATTTGATTTCCATTTATGATTTTTATATTATGTTGTTTTCAGCACATTCACATTTGTACAGAACAGAAAATCCAATGAGAATATTTCATACACTCAGATGTAGGACGTGTTATTAGTTATTTTTTTGAGCAGTGGATATATACCAGATTCTGCCAACCATTCAAGACCACACTGTTGAAAGCCATTGAGTGACTAGTTGTCCAGCATTCTTGCTTTGCAGTTTCCTGACCAGGTGCTTGTTTTTTTGGATTTGTCTGTTTTGCCTTCACCTCGCCTGCTTGGATATTGCATAAGTTCTCAGATTCTTGAAATTATCTTGCTTGTCAGTGCAAAAAACAAAAACATGCAGCAGAATATTTAAGACAAAACTCTGGATGTATAAAAATTAACCTTGTGCCTGCTTTAGACTTTAAGCTAAAATTTGCGGCAGTCAGGCATACTTTTTTATCAGCAACTTTTAGTAAGAAAGCTGTGCACTCTTTACTCAGGAAGCCCCTAGACTGTTTCTTTTTTTTACTGTGATTCTTGCTCTGCCCTTTGGATTTGTTCAACCATCCCTCAGCCTATTATACCCATCATCTCCTGCTGTGAGCAGCCTTCGGTCTGCACTACTGCCTTCTGCTCTCCTCTGGATTTACCTACCTGCCCAATGATTCTCTTTATTCTTTTAATAAACTTTTTAAAAATGCAACAAAGAAGATTTTGTGTTACCGTGAGAAGGTGTTCCTGGCGTAGTGCATAATGCTGTCAAAATCATATGGTTCTCCAAGTGAGTTCACTTCCCCCGGCTCCATCTTGAGGAAGTTATATTCCTGACCTGCACAGATTAAAAACATGAATACCTTATCTTTTCTAAAGAGAAGTTTATTTTAGCAGTCAACAGTACAATGCATCCAAAATAAGTCTGTTGGTCCACAACCATGGTTCAACAGCCTTATAACATAATTACTTCAGTAATTCAAAGATCTCTTGGTTCTCCAAGGCACCACTGAAAGTGGTAGCCTCAAGGATTTAAGGTAAGTTCTGTAGACTGAATGTGGTTTATTCCAGAGATTTTTCTCTGGGCTTTCTTAACCACTTGCCTCTCTCCAACAAAGTCTTTAAGTAGCACTGCTGTGCATCAATTATGTTGGTGCAAACCTGTTGAGGCAGTTACAGCAAATCACAGACAAAGCCCCAAACCAGCAGATAAAAGAAAAACTTAAACTAGTTTTGACAAAGACTGATCAAATACACAGAGCCTATAAGTTCAAATATTAAAGGAATTTAGCTTCCCCATTCAGTGAACACTCTTTCCAATCTTGTTTGACAATACATTCTGTATTTGGGTAAAACGTATGTTTTTGAATTGCCAGATATCTATATTCTATCAACTATTTCAACATGCTGGTCAGGAATTACAATGGTTTTAGAATTATGGATTATTAGGAAATAAAGCTTCTAAAATGATGGGAAGAAGCACTAATGTGTCTACATGAAACAGGTAAACCAGTCATCTAATTTTCAAATATATTTGTGAGAACTAAATGTGTTTATATCTGAATTTTCCCTTCCTTCTAATTCTTCTGCTCCTTAAAAAGCTCTGAAACAGTTATACATTTCCGTAAGTTACGACAGAGAAGACAGCTTAAGGCAAAGATCAGTGCTTTTTGTATTATGCAGATTACACTCGAAAAATTCGACCTAAGCTAAGGAAATGAGGGAAACAGACCTGCTTAAACAGGCGAGTAATGTTATAAAGGGTAATATTATCCTTTTAGATATGCCACGTATGAATGCAAATAGCTATTATGGTAAAATACATGTTTAAAAATACATTGAAAATCATGTTGATACAATTAAATAATTGACTTGCAGTGGTTGATAAACAGAGCCCAGTCAAATTAACCCAGTAATGAAGCTCCCTCTGTATTGTGCAGCTAAAGTGAGTTGCACTGAACAGCTGCCTATTTCAAGACACTCAGAACCCAAGAATTTAATAGCAAGCTTTTTTTTTATGTTCAGACCCATTCAATGCATAAAGTATAGTAAAAATTTAAATGACACACGTTACATACATTAATTACGCACAGAGTGATGTTTTCAACCCCCTTCTTCTGTTAATTATGATGCATTGCTGCTCACAGCCAACGGAAAAAAAGCATTGGGTTTCATACCTGGTAAAGGTTAATTTAAGAAGGTACTTTTATTTGGCAAACAAGCTTTATCTAAAAGCATATTCCAATTTATTGAATCTATCTTTTACTAATGAAATCCTCTGATTACATTTTGATTAGGACCCTGTTATGGAAGCACATTGTTTTCTCCCAATTCAGACTTCTTAATATAAAGTAGAAAGATCACAGAGCAAAAAAACCCTGGAGAAGTTTTAAAGATGAAGATTATTACATTGGTGTAAAAACAAGCTAGTGGTTTACATTTTCTGCACAGTGCTGTACAAGAATCCTAGAGGGGTATTTGTTGAGAGCAGCAATACTTCTAAGTAAATCCCTTTCCCAGTGATTTCATGAAACACCTGTCAGATTGCATGACAGTGTAAAGGGGTGCGTCTTCGGAAATGTGATAGACCTCAGTGACAGACATCTTGGCGACTTCACAGTCATCAAAATATCCATTCACACCTCTTATCTGAACCCAGACATGAGAAAGAATTTAGAAAACCAACGTATAACTTCTTTGTCTATAAATAGAGGACAGCCTGAATGATCCTGAGACTTTAGTGTCTCTGTGGTAATGAGTCTCACCCGGCTGGATGTTATCCCGGATTATGGTCACATGATCGTCACGGTCGGGCCGTGTGTGTTCATGCCAGAAGCCAATGACGTGGCCTAGCTCGTGCACCACAATGCCAAACTTGTCACAATTCTTCCCTATGGAGATGGCCTGGGGTCCGTTGCCACGACGACCCACATAGGAACAACACCTGAAAGAGATTGGTGTGGTGAGAGACATTTAACACAGAAACTACAGCAACCAAGATGCCTTAAATCAACATTCTTCTCCCAAACACATGCACAATTTTTTCATACTTTATTATGCAGCTACCAAAAATCAGTTGTATTTGGGAAAGTAAAATTGTTCTCAGTTTTTAAAAGTATTAAGAAAAGTATGTCTGCATTATTATTCAGAATCCTGCAGTGATATCTTTGTAAAGGACGTTTAACTACAATGACAGCCATAAGTCTTTTTGGGTCTATCTAAACCAGGCTTGCTGAAAATCTGCCCCTTAGGACCGCTGCCCTGCAGGTTTCAGAGGTTTGCTTCAGGACAGCTGATCCTGATGAATGCAGTTCAGGAAAAGCCTGTTAATCAGCTACCAATTTAAATCAGCTGTGCTGAGTCAAGGAAACCTCTAAAGCATGCAGGACAGTCACTGTCGAGGGCCGACTTTGGGCATGCTCGATCTAAACTATCCTTTTGCATCTAAAATAATTTTTCCCCCATTCTTAACAGCTAAGACTCTGTCAGATTGGACCACAGGAGCATCTATGAACATCGCTTGTATGTACTTATGATTACACCAAAGAGCTTTTGCTCAAGAAACAGATTGCACTTTTGTGCTTGGCCAATCATGTAAAACTTAAGTAGATTGGGTACTGTTTATGAGCAATCAATGTTTCTTGAGGAAGAGGCATAAATTTAAACTAAAACATTTGATGGTAAAACATACATTTGAGCTTGCCACTTATGCTTTTCTTCCCTCCCATTTTTTGTAAAGCTTTGTAGTTGTATGATACTCATTATTTTTGGATGATAAAATGAACAGTACTTCTTGAGATGTAAAAATTTGCCTCTTTGTCTTACAACCCTTGCCCTTCGATGGACTGGCGACCTGTCCAGGGTGTACCCTGCCTCTCGCCCATTGACTGCTGGAGATAGGCACCAGCACCCCTCGCGACCCCACAAGCGTGTAAGATGATGGATGGATGGATGGATGGATGGATGGATGGATGGATGGATGGATGGATGGATGGATGGATGGATGGATGGATGGATGGATGGATGGATGGATGGATGGATATAACCCGACCTTGCTTTAAGATTGTCCACAATCCCTGGCCTGTCTGGAGAGTTATTTGGTGTTATTGAAGCTATTTGCTCATTACTGTTACCAAAATACACTCCAAAAGACACTTAATGTTACTCGCAGAGCAGCCGTATTCAAGCGAAGATTAATTCATTAACAAATAAGTAATAAAGTGGCAATGGAATATAGCTCGTCCAACTTGATTGTATTTAAGGGTATAAAAATAAAGGAGGATAATTTCAGTGCGCAACATTTGTAAAATGTTTTAAAACCACTTATTCTTTTCTTTTTCACTTTAAAAATATGTCCTTGTTTGTGTTGGTTCATTACATTAAAAAACTATTTTAAAATACGAAGGTTTGTGTTTAAAATCTAACAAAACCGTAACTCCAGTTCATGATTAAGCCATCAGAGTCAGTATGATCCTTTGGTACTTTTATCATAACCACTCATACTTCATAATCATATCTAGAGCTGAACAGTGTTACTTTTGGCAACAATGACCAGATTATTTCGTTGACGGTCCTTTTTTTCATGACGAAAACGAAAACTGATGAGCTAAGCATGGATCTTTGATGATGAAAGCATGACGAGTTGTGGGTGTGAATTTTTGTTGACGGGACTGAATAATATGTTAGCAGATGGTCTGTCAGACATTTTAAATGAATCATTGTGCTAGAATCTGTTAAACCAGCTAAGCAGTATCAGCCACATCCTTTTTGGTCATGCTGCCCACCTGGAGTCCAATAGTGCACATTCTGCATGACCACACATGGACAATGGCATCAACGACATGGGTGAATGTAATCTGGAATGGTCTGGTAACTGTGCGCTGAACTCTGCCAAGCTCTGCTCTTCCAGCTGTGCTTGCGCAGAAATGCATCTTTTTGATTAGGTCCGAGCCTGCTCTTGTGCTCCACAGTGATGTTTCCCTCTCAGCGGTATGGCTCTTCCTGCCCTCGCTACCTAATAAACTATGTGGGTGATCATCCTCTGCCAAGCGTAAAAAATCCATCAAGATTTTATTTCTTCCAGCTCGCAACAGGTGATGGAAAACCTTCTTTAATTTCAACCAAAATGAATCACTAAATTATATCCAAAGCAAATATTTAAATACATACTGTTTATTTTTGGATAAAGACCCAGATGAACAGGTAAATAGAATACTGCTCTCTCAGTTCTTGTTTCTATCTATTCAAATATTATGTAAATGTGTCCTTGTATTGTCATTAAAACATTTTCTCTGTTTCCTTTAAATATGTAAACATTTTAGTTCACATATCCATTTGCATGTCCGGATAGCCATGGTAATATAAGGCAATTATTTAGGTTCTCTATGTAATTTTTTTATATCAGACCCCTATGAATTTAAATCTACTTTAACCCCTGAGAAGTGGTTACCAAGCGGCAAATTCTTAGAAATAAAGCCAAATTTGTCAAAGTAGAAAGAAGAATGTTTCCGTTCTTTGCTTTTTTGGAGTATTGAAGATTGAATGATCTGTGTGTAATGCATAATTCATAGTAGATCAGGAAGTGTTTGCTTTCAGATGGAAACCTTGTATGCCTACAACCATTCCTTTATCGTAAATTTTGTTAGCTTGTCTGTCTGCTATATTAACCAATATGATGTGTTGAGCTAGATCTGCTACTTTTACCGATTTGGGAGGTCCTTTTGTATAAAGTAGGACATTAATTAATAAAAAAGATTATTTGAGTTCTATAATTAGAAGTTTTCTGCCCAACAGCAATGATGAACGGCACAGCAACATTGTATCTCCAGCAATTGTAGCAACCCAGGCAATAGCTGTCAGTCTGGTAAAGAATCTGGTTCTCATTCAAAATTGTAAAGGTTATTTCATTTATTAATTGCAACATAAAACAGACTAAAACTAGTATAAAACCTTTTTGAGTTTTAGTCAACTAAGACTGGACTAAAACCTTCTCATATAGTAATGACTAAAATGTGACTAAAACTAATAATAGTTTTCAGCTTTAGGACGAAACTAAGACTAAATATAAGATGGCTGTCAAAAATGACACTGGAGCCTCTTCTTGAAGCATAAGCCCAAATATCCTCAGTCACTGTAAAGTTTTACAACTACCACATCCAGAGTGAAGTGTCACCACTGTACAAACACACTCTGACCCCACCGCGCTGCCACTCGACAGAACAATGCACCTCTTCCGAGTAGGAACAAAAGAGCTGCCCGTACATACAAACACTTAAAACTGAGCGCCGTGATTGGTAGGATGGGGAAACAGGAGCAGGACAGGAAGGAAAACGAAGCCATTGTTGAGTGACCATATCGTCTCTCACTGTGACAAGGTCGATAGTGAACTCTAGGTACACACACACATCCATACACACACACTCCAAGATATACAAAGTCTACTTCCACTCTTACCCGCAGGGTCTGTAGGTGAAGACGATGTAGCTTTCCTCATCTGTCTTTTCAATAAATGTTACACACGTCTGCTTCTCCCAGTGACGCATTGCCTGTTTGAACATGGCCCTCTGACTACCTGAAACACATACATTTTACATCCTATCTTTACATAATCACACTGGGTGTGTATTTGTACTGCTGAGTGGTGAAGGGCAGTAGTCCAGCCAAGGTGTTACCAGTGAAGTTTCCTCCAATGACGTAGGGGATGACTCCCCCGGGCCAAATTCTTTCAGCTCTAGATGTGGCTGCTCGAGGATTACGGCTCTTTCCAGTCTCACCAGGATTCCCACCTTTCCAGATTTGGCTTTTTGTATTGGCAGCTCCCCTGCTTTCATTCTTCGGGATGTAGTCTAATTTGGAGTAAAATGAGAAAACCCTTTATTAACTAGAAGATTAGTTTAAAGGAAAACACAATTTTAATTCTATGGTTTAACATGATAAAAAAATGCATGTTTTCAGCTAACTCTTTAATAGTTATAGTAAAAAAATAAAGTTGTCAGGTTTCACTTTAAAATGAAGCGAAGCTTTCTGTGAACAAACTAAGTATAGCCTTGTTGCTTCCACAGAATTCAAGGAATAAGATTCCCCACAGGTACCCCAAAACCCATAGACGATTATGTTTTAATCAGTGTTGCCACTTATGTCAAAGTAAGGCTGTTGTGATGCGTACAGGTGTGTTAAGACGATGTCAATAAGGAAACAAATTACTTATGACACCTGAAGAGCAGATGCTGCATATTAGTCTAGGAAAGGTAAATATCAATATTTCCAAATGATCTGTAGATAGTGGCACATGTAAAGCAGCTGCCAATCTTGTGGTGCACCTTTGAGCAACTTCAACCAAAAGTTAGACTGTGCAATGTCCAGAGAAATTGCTATGTAAAAGTCCAAGATGTCCAACTATGTGGGCCCCAGTTAGCATGATAAAGTTTATGTCAGGAAATTTAGAGAAGGCTAAAAAAGGATAAATTGTTTGCAGGTCCTGTCATGAAAGAAGACCTTCTGAAACAGATTCCTTTGAACAGAGGAGACATGGTACCAGGATGTGCAGTGATTGGGAAAACCAAACCAAGCATATTGCCACAAGCACCTCATACCAAGAAACATGATGGTGGAGGGGTGAATACTTTGCCTTGTTTTCTACCCAGTAGAAGCCTGGGTCACTAGCAGGTAATGAATCAAGCATAAACTCCTCTGCATTCAGAATGTTTTAGAAAGAGATCTGAGACAATCTGCCAGACGGTAGGGTGGCCTACTGTAGTGTTTAGAATATGCACTTGGGTCCCAGAGGTTTCAAGGTTAAAGGTAAATTAGTGTTTTATAGTCAAACAAGTTCACATTTTTATGTTTGTGGTACAACATGTGGAATCAGGTTCTGGTTTAAAAAGATGAAGATGACTTAATTGTAGCTTGAGTTCAGCAGCCTATCAGCTGCAGGGATGAAACAGTTTCTAAGCTTGGTGGTCTTGCTCTGGATGCTCCTGAGCCACATGCCCAAGGGGAGAGGGCAAAAGACACTGTGTGCAGGATAGGTGGAGCACTTCATGATGTGGAGCATCCTTCCCCTGCATCTTGATGTGTAGAGGTGGATGGAATGCTCCTCTCTACAGTTCTCTGTGCAGACTTAACCAACCTCTACAGAGCCATCCTCTCAGCAGCAGTGCAGCTGCCATACCAATATCACATGGTAATGCAGGAGAAGAGAATGCTCCCCACCACACAGCCATGAAAATTACTTAGGACTGAGCTCCTGAGTCCAGCTCTCCACAGCTTGCTGAGAAAGTAGTGATACCAATGGACTTTCCTGACCAGACAACAAGTGTTGGCACTTCAGGTGATATTACTGGCTAATTGCACACCCAGGTTCCTGTAGCTGGAGACCACCTCCACAGCTGCCCCTCCAAGGTACAGGGGATGAAGTGTACCCACCACCATCTCTGTTGTGCTCTGCACCACTGCACCAGGTGTTCAACCTCCTCTCACTAATTTTAGTGAGGCCTCCTGCTAATGCTGTCTCAGCCGCAAACTTCACTATAAAGCCTGGATTGTAATTTTTTGTTAAACAACGACTGCTGTTGACTTCAGCAGCAATTGAGTTGCTGTATAATTGCGTCAACTTGCAGATATTTGTTAAACCTGAAACGTTTGGATTTTAAAAAGAATATTTCTGTCTATTTTATTTAGCTGCACAAAGTCGGTGTGTTGGTCTTTTTCTATTTTCTAAGTAAATAGTGTAAGAGAAGAAAGAACCTGCCCCCCAAAACATTTCACAAAAATACCCAAATATTTTAGTGGTATGTCCCAAAAAAAAAAAACACTGAAAGGCTGAATAATAATGATACCTAAGAAAGAACAGCAGTCAGAGCAGTCTAGAAAATCAGAGAGTACTAACATTTTTTCCGCAGTCCAAAAACACATACAGGTTGACTAAATCATAGTTACAATAGTTTTCTCAAATATATATAAGATAGGAGTTAAGTTTCTCTTAGCTGCTTTAGTTGTGTTGGGTTTATGTATTTATAAAGTGATATTTCCCAGTGCTGTAATTTGATGCTAAGGACAGTAAATAATTTGTTCAGGTGCATGTCAGATACTCACCTCTTATCTTCAACTGTTTAGAATAATGCTTACTAACTAGTTGGCGGCACAAAATGGCAATAAAACTGTATCTCACTTTAAAGAAGAAAGTCAAGACGTCATTTTCAGATTGCTTACCAAAGCCAAATCTGCGTATTCTCTCCAGCAGAAGGTATAAAGACCCTCTTTTCACAGTTTCATGTTCCCCAAGGCCTCCTGACTCAAAAAGAAACAAAAAAAGTAAATTCATGTAATATGACATCTTTCTACTTTTAGCTCACACTGTGAAAGCTGCAGAATAAACTCCATGACAACTAAAAAAAGTGTGAGTCAGAATTAATGGTTCCCCTCACCTGAATTGTGTCCCAGTCTGAAGTTTGAAAACATATGTGTGTGTTGTTTGAGGTCTATTGTTCTGTCAATTTGGAACATCTGCAGGTCCTCCTCGTCCAAGGCAATGTCCCCCCAAAATACAGCTGAAAGTAAGAAAAACAAAAGACAAATCATTCAGTTGCTCTTACCTGTTAATGTCAATACCAAAAATATTTTTGAAATGCTTAAAAAAGAATATATTAAATCAGCTTTTGTTCATTAACCCTTGGGAAGGTCTTACTTCCAAAATAAAAATTTTGTAAAGTCGGACAGTAACAGTATGAGCCTGCAAATTTGGAGGGAAGACATATGTTCGAGGACAGAATTGGACAGTGTTCGAATTGATAGCAGTTTTCTTAATCAAAAGTCAGGTCATTTGGAGGCCTAAAAAAAAAAGCGCTATTTAAGAAATGTGATACTTTAATTTTATACATCATCAAGCCATTTTATCTGACTATTTATCGTACAGGGCTCTAGTCAGTGATTTGCTTTTCCATAATAAATATATCATAAAAGAGATGTTTATCCCCGATTTGAGTCACAGCCATATACAAAAAGGCCCCTAATGACATACTATTAGTTTAACCGTCTTGTGTTTTCACAGCTGTCAGCCAACTCTTTGCATAGTTATAAATAAACTAACCTACCAAAAAAATACCAACTTATACTTTTGAAGCCTTCGTCTGGTTCAACCAAATCTATCAAACATGGAACTCACACCTGTGGTGATGCTGATTGATATATGTAATTTATTAGCTTAATAGAAAATGTCACAAGCGGTCCCCTAAAAAAAAGAATTTACTATGGCACACATTTAATGCAACTTTGTTTTTTAAATCAAATTAACAACAACTCATAAAGGATGCAGTTGTCTTATAAAGAAATAATTAATCCAAAATGTTCCAGATTTATAAATATGTTCCTAATTGGACAAAAAAAAAGACCAGTAGAAGTTGTTCCAGGACACAACCATATCAGATCCATAATCCTTGCAACCCTGCTGTTAAACCTGTTATACCTTGTTCTAAAGGAAATAAAAAACTGGTAACGTTTGGATCTGTTAAGTCTCATAGGCTATATATCCCCAGATCAAACCAAAAATCAATTAGTGATTTGTGGTAGATAACACTGTACTAAATTTATTTTCAGCAGACTACGGACAGATTATAGACAATACATCAATTTGAAGCCTGAACTGATCAGCATTTGCTTTTAAAGTTTTGCTTCATGAATGCATTAGACAGAAACTAAACATGAACAGACCTGCCATGGACAACAAGTCCTATGACAAGTTATTTGTTTTCAAACTTTCATATTTCAAGAATTAGATAACTTGAAAATGATCAAAGCAGACAATGACCAGTAATCTCCTAAAACTACTATTCTTATTAAGTTGAAAGCACAACTACTAAAGTGAAGTGCTTCAATTAAACTATAAAGAAGTAAATTATGACACAATTTCCCCCAAATTACAGAAGAGATAAAATAGAAAATTCCTAAATTAATATAACGTCAACGTTCTTGGATCTGATTGAGGTTACGAAGTCTTTGAATTCCACGAATGGCAGCTGCTCCTAAATAATTATAAAGTGAAAGATAAATATGTCCAATGATTAGGGTTTTATCAAGCAAAACTGTCAAGCGGTCTAAAAGAGGCCTTTGTATTTATGTTGTCATTAAAGACAACTTTTTAGACTGATTATTTTAACCCTNAAAAAAAAGTATTTTTCTGTTTTGTTTTATTCTTGGATCGGGCTTTAAAGGGTTAAATGGATTCTAAAATCAATCAAAACTTCCAGATAAATGAATGCTTGTAAAGTAAATTCACTTTTAAATTTTAACTGAACAGGAGTCAAAAAGAAAAAAAAAACTTAAACATACCGGTGTTCAGTTAAAAGTCTGCATATTCACTCAGTGAATGTGATTAGTATTTAGTCATGGGTGCAAGAGTGATATTGCAGATAACAGATATTACATCTGACTCATGTGCTCTCTAACAAATATATATTTTCCCCCTTTTTCATCCATTGCTTTTTCTGTATCTACATCTGTATATATAAAACACTGTTGTCGGTACCTAAAACATTAACATCTTTAGATGATTATCTCAGCTTAATAATTGCTCTCCATAGGGAGTTGAGACGCTAATACAATAACAATGGCCAAGGAGATGCTTGTCAGTTGGCTAATCAGTATAGCAATTGAAGGAAACAGGGACAAGACGAATCTATTGTGTTCTTTGCAGCGCATTCTATTGCTGGAGACAGGAGTAAACCGCAGCGCCTTCAGATTAACAAAATGTTACATCAGGTATCTATCAAGTGGGTTTTGCATGCTGTACAGACAATAGACTATTTGCAGAGTTTTTTCTCTGCTATGCAAAAGGTGATTATGTCAAAAAAGTATTTATTTAAAATGATGGGTGCTAAGTTAGTTCTCAAGCCTCTCCAATATCAATCTAGATAAAAAATATTTAACTAAATGTATTTAATGTTTAAACATGTGCAGCTTAAAAAACAAAGATTAAGGATCAAAGATTAGTTAATTATTATATAGTTTAGATCATTCAACCAAATTTCAATTTGGTTCAGTTGATTTGAATTAACTAATATATAAACTAATATATAATTATATTTAATCTAATCTTTTTTTAGCCTTACTTACTTCATGTTTTACTTCTTTTTACTTGTTTTAGTTTAGCTTAGTAGCCTAGCAATATTTAGTTTGCCTTATCTTTTGACTTCCCGTAGCTTTTTTAATTTTTGTACTATCTTGATTTGTCTTCATTTAGTTTTGCTTGGCTTAATTGGAGCTTAATTTTGAATGAATCTACAGTACTACTACAGTAAGTTTATCCTATGTTTAATTTTATTCTAAATTAGCTGAGCATTATTTCTCTTAGGTTTGCTTATTGTGGTTTACATTTTAAGTCTTTGAATTTTGAAAAAGCTTGACATTTTTTTTATTTAATATCTAACCTACAGATAAGAATCATGATTGTTAATTTATATAATGATTCTAATTGACATGTTTTTCTACTCCAGACAAGCCTGAAAGGAATCTAGTTCAAAACATCCCTTTTTTTAAAGGTGTCATAGAATGATTATATAGGGTATTTGGTGCAGGTCCTTAAGGTCTGAATAGGGTGTGTAACATTGGTTGGGCTGAAAATAGCATATTTGCTGTTCTATGAGCCCTAATGCAAGACTGGTTAAAAGCCCTAGAATGAAACAACAGATTTTGTTCCTTTTATGGTATGCTCATGAATATTTAGATGAGCTGCGCACTGATTGGTTGGTTTACAACGAGCAAAGCTGCTGAGCAAAGACGCATCATAGCAACAATCACTCACTCACTGAAACACTGAATTGTTGATATGGTAGGGTGACCAGACGTCCTCTTTTTCCTGGACATGTCCTACTTTTCATACCTAAAAACATGTCCGGGGGAAATTTCAAAGTTGTCCTGGATCTTGGTCAACTACAATGCAGTATGTAGTCAAAACACAGAGGGCACTCAAACCCAGCTCCGGGGCTGGTCGCTACAAGGATGGAGCGACTGAAACTGACCCAACAGCCCCGTGCTTCCCCTCGCCCTGCCTGCCTTACCGGGAAGCCAGGGGGAAGCACGGTAAGGCGGGGGGGGGGCATAACGTCACCGGGTCGGGTTTGGTCGCTCCGTCACCGGCTGGCTCGGTTTAAACCATGTCTTTCGCGTCTTCGGTTCCTTGGGAAGACTGTGAAAATGTCTTCACAGTCTGTATGAGAATGTATGTCAATTTCGGGGCATTACAAAATTACAGGTCTGAACCAAATAAGGCAGCACCCCCGAATTGACGTCAATTTGTTTGAAATTGTTTGAGATCTGTGGGGAAAGTAGGTGTCGATGGGGTTTGAACTTCTCTGTATGCCCATTTCATCCACTGAATTATCATTAATCATCTATGACAATGTAAACTCGGTTTTCCATTCTTTTACCGCTTTAAAAGGTTGTTTGACACTTTCTAAAAGAGAAAAGGACACAATTTTCTTGGCAAAAACTGTATTCCTATCTGAGCAATTGTTGGGAATTTCAGAAATGATTAGCTTTTTTTTCTATACCTTGATAATTTTAATACAGAGACTAACTACTGCAACAATAAAGGTTATGTTTGAAGGATACATTACCTTGCTTAAATTCACTTGTCAGACATTAAAGTTCACATAGAAAGGAGTTTTATGATGTGTAATGGTAGATCATCCTTTCTTTTCTCTATGTGGCTGGTTTAAATTGCGCTAAAAATGCTTCACGTAATAAAAATCTAGAGAATTTTAAATTGCTGGGGGCCGCTAGCGCCTCTAGAGCAGTCACTTGACAAAACACAGCTGTGACATCAGTGTAGTCAAGTGCCTCAGGCGGGTGTATAGAACCACTACTTCACACATTGTTAAGGACTCTGAAAGGATTGTTAAAACGTCATTACAATGGTCTATTGTAATGCTGCCAATTGTAGGAACCGCATTGGATCATGAAATAGAATGTCTAATTAATCGTAAGACACGGTTTTGCATCAAATTTCGATCCGTAAAGTAAATAAATTTGAGAAAAATCAGCCAGACAATATGTGGCGCCCAAACGGACACAGCAAACTATTTTCAGATCACATCACAGCAGATTATTTTATCATCGATCCTGCTCTCACAGCATCAGTTCGATTTAATATACCAAAGTATCAACTGCATGTTTTCTCTGTTGCATAGCTTTAATAAAGTGCCTGATGGCATTAAAGCTCATTAAAAGGTTTGTTTATTTTTTTATTAAATATTTTATTTCAGAAAACAATGAATTCTAGCTAGTAGCAAAGTTTAGTATAGCTGCAGCTCCTGACAGATTTCCATATCATTATGGTCCGGGCTCCAGAACAACAAGAACAGCGATGGATAACAATCAGTTACAGCAGGGACCCAGAGAGCGAACCCCACTGGCCTTGAGTCATGAGCCGAACCGGTTTAAAAAACACATCGGAAGGGTAATGTTTCCCGCTCAGAGAGCAGAAAGGACCCGGTGCTTAGACCGGTCACTGCGATCAGATTAATGAGGGACCTCTAGGCTCAGCAGCGGAGCA